CACTCACTCCAGTTTTTGAGTGAAAAAATTCTTTGTTGAGTATTACTTTACAAAACATCATTATTTTAGAAAAGTCATAACTCCATTAATAATAACTCAATTCAATCCCTTTGAGTTTTTAGTATTTTTTACATTGAGTCTTCAGGAAAAGGTCTTCAAAATTTCAACTCTACACTCACTTCAGTTTTTGAGTAAAAAAATTATTTTTAGAGTATTGCTTTACAAAACATCATTATTTTAGAAAAGTCATAACTCCATTGATAATAACTCAATTCAATCCCTTTGAGTTTTTAGTATTTTTTACATTGAATCTTTGATAAAAAATCCTCAAAATTTCAACTCTATACTCATTTCAGTTTTTGAGTGAGAAAATTGTTTGTAGAGTATTACTTTTCAAAACATCATTATTTAAAAAAAGTCGTAACTCCATTGATAATAACTCAATTCAACCCCTTTGAGTTTTTAGTATTTTTTACATTAAATCTTTAGGAAAAAATCCCCAAAATTTCAACTCTACACTCACTTTAGTTTTTGAGTGAAAAAATTGTTTGTAGAGTGTTACTTTACAAAACATCATTATTTTAGAAAAGTCATAACTCCATTAATAATAACTCAGTTCAATCCCTTTGAGTTTTTAGTTTTTTTTACATTTAAATCTTTAGGAAAAAATCCTCAAAATTTCAACTCTACACTCACTTCAGTTTTTGAGTGAAAAAATTGTTTGTAGAGTATTACTTTACAAAACATCATTAGTTTAGAAAAGTAATAACTCCATTAATAATAACTCAATTCAATCCCTTTGAGTTTTTACGTATACATCGGGCAGCTATGATTACGCTTAAAGGTCGAACATATACAGGGTGACAATTAGAAAAGCAGCAATCAGTAATATTTCTTAGACAAAAAATGCTATTAGGAAGATCTTAAATATATAACCTGTTGGATTATGAATACAGGTAAATTCGCCCCAATGACCATGAGTTCAAAAGGTCTACTTTAGCCGCTCAGTTATAGCAGATAAGATTCTATAAGTATAAAAACATTATCTTATTCCAATTGTTGTCCTATATCTTATTTCCAATATAACCCCTCCTGTGTTGGAGATGGGGCTTGCCCCCCCCCCTAATGATTTTTCTAAAATGAGAAACTACCCTTGAGAAACTACCATTTCATTTTAGCTACAATATAGAATATGATCAAATGACTTTTCATCTAGAAAACACAAAAACAATTTTGCCTGCGGCAAAGTTGAAGAGCATTCAGCTATTATTCTATTAAAGCCCCATTATAGGCTGAATATTTACGTTGTGCAGCTGACACCCAACACCAAATTATAATTCAACCATTTCTCGCCGGTATTCGGTAGTGCCCCACTGCTACACTTACCGTATATAGTATATTCAATGCAACAAATGGGATCCTAACCTATTATGGTGGACGGCCTCCCCAGCGGACACCAATTACCAAAAAGACATGATCAAATCCTAATTTGTTGCTCTGGATAATCAGTGAAACGCAACCCCATAATATTGTAAATAACCCCATTGTAACTATATCTAAGATTAGTTTTTTCTGTGAATCAATGAATCCTCCCCTTCCTTCCACCATAAATGGTAGTTGCTCAGCGAAAAAGGCAACTACATGGACTGTAATCATGTAAAAATTTAAAATCATTAATGTAAATAGAGGCTAAGATCCACTATAATACTCTTTTTGAATAAATATAATCCTTATGTAATTAAATGGCATTTTCTTATTCATAGTATTTTTTGTCTCAGTGTTAAATTGTTACCCTGTATGTCCGACGTGGCCTAAATGGAAACATCACTGTCGGACAGTTTTGCCCGACGCGACATGCAAATGGTCTCTAAAAATTTCATTTTTTCGACATGGCTTCACAAAATCATCTATTACTCAGTTAATATTCTATATATTTCAATGTAAAAATAACTATTCTAAATCAGAGTTTAATGCTCTTCAAGATGAAACACGTTTCATTCCAATAAAATTAAAGGTTTCGATATGATTTCAGAAAATCATCTTTTACTCGGTTTAATATTCCATATATTTCAATGTTAGAATAACTATTCTGTATCAGAATTTGATGCTCTTCAAGATGAAACAAATTTTATTCCAATATTTGAAACGGTTCTGAAGATATGAGCCTCCAAAGTTGAAACTTTGAGTCAGATTTCTATGGAGTTCCTTTGGTCTTACATCAAAAATTATTTCGTCGAGTTTTTCAAATTTCTGACTTCACCAGCCAGAAAAATAAGGTCAAATTTAGTAGAAAAACATTGTGACAACTCTACGTTAAAGGTTCCAAGGCTTAAAATATATCGAAAACACTTATTGATGTACGTTATTGACTCGCTTTCCAAAAGTGCACCCAACACCTCCATGAGTGTCTCAAAAAAATTGAAAACTTTCAAATTGCCTGTTTGAAAAATACAGATTTGTACAGACTGATACATAACTGGATAGCTATACTATCTTTATAATAGTAGATTATACCACGAGTCAATAATGATAGCTATTATTCCCGAGGATTATTACGAACTGAGCCGCGTTAGCGGCGAGGGAGTAACATTCCGAGGGAATAATAGCCATTATTGCGAGTAGTATACTCTACTTTATTTACGACAAATTAATTTATTTGAGATTTTCAATGAACAAATTTTTTCCGTCTCATAATTTTCAATACAAATCCACAAGCACTACACGTTTGACACTGACACTTTTGTGGAATAATGACCATTAATCCCGCTACTCGTCATTAATCCCTGGAGGAATAACATATGTCATTATACTGCCAAAATCACAAATATAATACGCACATTATACATTAGTCGTAAATAAAAGAGTATTATTGTGTAATGCACCTGTAGATTTTTAGCTGAAAATGTTTAGTGGACTTCCACCAGCAATTTACCCCAAGGTGTTAATATGGGTAAGTTGTGTTGGGTTAGTTGGGTTGTTGCTAGTGGTAGTGGCTTATTGAAATTTACAATAATTGAGACTTAAGACCCAAAAACATCTTTGGATAATTTCCAGTGACAGAATAGCTATATGGATTTAAAGTGGCTTAAACAGCAAAATTGTGGACAAAAATCAATTTTTTTGGGACACTCCAGCATTTTATTACAACAGTATCTACATCCAGCATACAGCGTTCTATTCCAACAATACCTACATACTACATAACCAGAACCCAGCATTCTATCTCACAACAGTGGATCATTCATCCTTCACACAAGCTCATCTATACTTTCTCCATTAACGCACTTTTGGAAAGCCAAATCAAAAAAAGAAAATGAATGATGAAAATAGATACTGGAAAACTAATTTTTGGACACCCTGTATATTTTACTAATTGCCAATAGAGAATCAAATTGATTACAATTTAAATAAAAAAAATAAAAAAAATAAAAAAAATTAAAAAAAATAAGTTGGATTGTTCGAAATTCAGACATTAGAAAAATCAAGGGTTGTTTATTCAAGATTCAATAAATCCCAAACCAAAAAATAATTGTTGGTACTACTTACCAAAATCCAGAAGTCAATTGGTAAACTATATGGGCACACGACACAATAATCTAAGCTTGTGTAAAAAAAAAATTGATAATTCTTGGACGCAACTGACGGTGATTTATCTCTGGCGATTCCTTCTCGACTAAATCCGAATAAATTTAAATCCCTTTGTCCGACAAAAACCCCCACAAAAAAAGGTAAACAGATAACGTAATAAATATGAATAAGTTAGGAGCAAAAAAAACAACTACGTGATAGAATACAGGGTGGGCCAATGAAAACTTTCCACCCCGATTTTTTGGACTTGAAATGAAAATCTGGAAAAACGCTCAGACACGTCAGTTTTTTAGTTGAGGGGGGCCCATTTTTTAGTTTTTATCACCCCTGTAGCTTCAACCCCCTAGCTGGGGGGAGCGCAACCCCCCAAATTTGAATAGAGGATAGGGGTCGTGTCATACCTCTTTTTAAAGGTCTATGACCTTAGAATTTCGTCTCATTATTTTTATTCATAACTGTTTCGTCCACTCAATAGTTTTAAGTTATTTGTATTAAATTGCTAAGATTGTCCTTCATTGAATTATTTTTGTTTTGTTTATTTTGCCAATTATTTATTGAAGTACCTACATACTTTGAATTTGGAGTAAACTTTTAATCCACGATTCACCCTTCAGATTATTTTCGCGTTCTTGAATATTTGAGGTCTTTATCTACTTAACGCATTGCCCTCATACAGGGTGTCCCAGCTAAAACGAAACAGAGGAGTTTTTACATATTTAGAATTCTTTAAATGAAAAACACTCGGACACGTCGATTTTTGCATGAAAGGGAACAACTTTCAAATTCATCTTTAATGACCTACCTGTCATCCCTTAGCGGGGGCGCGTTCAACCCCTAAAAATTAAATAGGGAAAGTGGGTCGACTGACCCCTTAAATGAAAGCTCTTCAAATTCTCGTTTCAACGGTGCCACATTTATTGACATTTATGTCAAAAAATTTGACAATGACGGGTCCCACCCATAACGAAACAAGGCAATTTAAAGGCATTTCTCGTTTTAAAAGTAAAAAAACGGCTAACACGTGACCACAACTCGCCGCTGTAAACTGGATTAGGTAAGATCTCAATTGTACTCGTAATTTTAAAACCGCAAAATACAGTCCACTTTTCTCACAGCTGATGCTCAGCTATAGACTAGATTTTTTATAAAGCACTGTTTAGTGAACTATTAAATGTTCACTTAACAAACTTATCAGTAAAACTTAAGAAATGGTTATTTTCATATCTGTTCTTAAGTTTTAAGTTTTAAGTTTTAAGTTCTAAATTTTAAGTTACTGTTACTGATACTGACACTATAAATTCAGCTTTACTCTGAAATAATAATCATATACTGTATCGGGTTTCAACAACAAAACCATCAAACTGTTATCACCGTGCGAAAATTCAATGCCTAGCAGTTCTCAAGCGCGAATACCAAGTTGTGCAATGCTTTGCATTTCTCAGGTAAATAAAATACTGCCAAACTAGTGATAGCAGTATTGATAGCATGATATCGGTTGCCGACTCCAACTAGCAGCAGCGTATACGCAACTAAAAGCTCGTTCCCCTGGCGCTTTAAAAATATTTTTTGTATATCGCACGGGTCTTTACAAAAGAAAACGCGTTGCTGCCAATAGTCATCATCAGGTCGCGGTAGTTTGAGCAACAGGATTAACGCTCAGCGAGCAGTAGTTTTAACCGTTACCGCGCGATCGTAAAAAGTGTTTTAAACAAAAAAACGCAAAATGGTCGTAGATAAATCAGAAGATAATGGCGGATTTCGCGAGTTTCAGTTTCAACGTATCAAACAGGAAACTAAATGGGAAACTTTTAGGAAAGCTATTTACGATCCTGCTACCAAGTCTGTGCTCGGTAGAACTGGAAAAAGTTGGGGTAAGTAAACCTGAAAAATACAAACTGTGACATTCTTTTATCTTTTTATTAATTTTTGTTTATCGTTAAAATCTGCGGGCTTATCTATATGCACCTAATTAATTTGTCAAACATAGCGATATATAAGAGACATAATAGAATACTTATATTATTACATATTTTGCAACGAATAACAAGTTTTGAAATAGCACTTTTCACTTGACTGGGAAATCGTCCAAGGAGTAAAGAATTTTGTTCGATAATAATTCAATAATCTGATGATTTCTTATACAAATATGTTTTTATTATTCGATACATGACAAAATCAGCTATCAAACTATTCCTACTCTACTCCGTGTGATAGGCTTTTTACCCACAAGTGATTTTCAAAATTAGTACCTACCTAAGTGCATTGCAAAGTACAGCGAAATTTTTATTCATTATTTGCCAATCTCTGAGTTAAAATAAGATTATGTAATAATCAACGCTAATAGAGGTATATTTCTCAAAAGTATTGCTTGACTTAACTTTACTTTTGAAAAAAGAACTAATTTTTTATGTTTATTAAACATGATATATGGCTTTTTCCTTGTGAAAATGATATATAGGTACTATTGTTCCTACAGCAAAGGTGACAGGTACCTATATCTAGTGTTTGAACCAAATATTTAGGCCACAGTTATACCAATGTTTAAGAGAGGAGAGGAGTTGCCCTGTAACTACTGAAAAGTTTATCAAGGAGCGAATGATGGTTTTTCTAGAGCAAACTGAGCTATATTCTCCCAATCAGTTCGGATTCTAATCCTCAAAAAATACGAACGATGCCGTTCTTAGTGTCCAGGGGTGCGATTTTCGAAACCATTCGAGTACATTTCGTACACGAAATTTGACTGCTCCTCATTTAATTTACATTGCTGTCAGTCAAATTTCGTGTACGAAATGTAGTCGAATGGTTTCGAAAATCGCACCCCTGGAACGGATGTAGGTACCTCAAACTTAATGTTGGTACTGAAGTGGTTTAGTTTTTACTTATCAGAGAATCAGAGAAAAGTCAGAGTGTTGTCTTTCAGGACAGTGCTGCAGGACAGGTAGCTTAACTGTTGGCGCGGGCTTTCCACAGAGGTTTATCTTGAGCCATTGTTGGTTTTTGAGTTTATGTTAATAATCTTCCTGCGGACATTTAATATCCAAAAGGCATCCATCATGAATTTTAAGTGTATGTTGGAAATATGTTTATCTGGATAACATTGGTTATCGGCAGAAGCAGGATGACCAAGTATCTGGGCATAATGGCTCATGACCAGCTCAGGTTTGATAAACACATTGAACACCAAAAATATCATCGGCATGCTTTGCTGTTAGTAAACCATTTGCTAAAAGGGTGTGCTTTTCTTTAATTGAGTCAAATCTTAGATATGACATTTGCTTCTGAGGTGCCACGCCCAAAAAAGTTTATTTTAAGTCTTCAAAAACAATTTTTTTTTGGGGTGCCACTCCGAAAAACATTTATGTATTAAAAGAAGTTATGTGTGGACATAACGGTAACTTAAAAAAATCTTACCGGACATCTCCGGACGCCTTGAAAATTAGAAAAAAGTTCGTGGAGATTCGGAGGGATGACAGCTTCTAGTTTGATAAACAAATAAATACATTGAAATTCATATAAAAAAAAATTCAATTTTGTTTTTCAGAAATTATTAGTGAAGTGGCAGAAAAAATTGGTGGTACCTATACGGTACTCGGTCCTTTTATTTTAGGAAGTGACTACTGCACTGTCCGGACAGTGCCGACTGCAAACTATCTGCACTGACCGGACAGTGTCGACTAAAATATATCAACACTGTCTAGACACCAAAATCTGAAATCTATTTGCACTGTCTAGACAATGCCGAATAAAAACCATCTGCACTGTCCAGATAATTTAATTATCATATCATATACCTTAAGTTATAGTTATATTCCTCGGGATCCACTGTATTAAGTTCGGACAAACACGCTGTGTGTTTGTTCATAACTGGAACACTCAGTAACTTTTTTACTATTGAAAATAAAGGACATGTTTAAATTGGAAAACTTCTTGGTAAATTGCGACGATCTCAATCGCTACAACGATATTGTTTTGTTGCCATAGGTATACAGAGTGCGGCAAAAAATTATTTTTTTGTACGCACATTTTTGCATTTTTAAAATTCTAAGAAAATTAACTTCACAAAAATATCAAACACTATTTGGATAACAAAAATATATGGGGCGTTCCATTTGAAATAAATACCTTTTTGGCGCACTCTGTATACCTATGAAGACAAAAAAATATCGTTGTATCGCTTAAGGTTGCGATTTCCCAAGAAATTTGCCAACTACGTCTTGAACATGCCCTTTATTTTCAAAAATAAGAAAGTTTATCGAGTGTGCCAGTTATAAACAAACACCCAGTACCTAAGAGTGTCAATTTTCACAGGTCAGGACGAGGCCAAAAATTAATTCAAAGCTGTCAATTAACGCAAATGTCGCATACAAAATACAGACAACATTCTTCCTACAAAGTAGTACTTTTCCGCACGCATTTCCGTGCTCAAAGTAATACTTTGAGCACTTGCTAGGTTGGGAAAATAACTATATGGCCTTGCCTCGACCTGACCTGTGGAAATTGACACTCTCAGGTACCATTAAAAAAAAAAAAAACTCATTTTGCGGACTCAATACAAAAATAACTACCTAGGGCATATTAACATACTGAATCCCAGCAAGGAAGCCAAGTCATTTTGAATATAACTCTAACTTTATATGATATGATGTTATGATGATGAAATTATCTGGACAGTGCGGATGGTTTTTAGTCAGCACTGTCTTGACTGTGCAGATAGATTTTAGTCGGCAATGTCTAGACAATGCTGATAGATTTTAGTCGGCACTGTCTGGTTAGTGCAGATAGTTTTCAGTCACCACTGTCTGGACAGTGCAGTAGTCACTCCCTTTTTTAACCACATGAGTCATCAAAACAGAAACTATTGTTTCCTTTGATTGAACTGAACCATTTGCCGACAGCCAACTTACGTTAAAGTCAAAGAATAAAGAGGTCAATAAAATAAATAAGAAACAGCATAATTTTATAATTTATTGTTTTTGCTTTTTAAGAGCGGTAGGGGCGCCATACTTGTAGGGGTGCGGGGGGGGGGGGGCGTCGCCCCCCTGCCCCCCTACTGGCTACGCCACTGAACATTGTTTAACATGATATTTGTTCTCCAGAGGCGTGCTATAATAGTCCACAAAGCTCTTATAGACCAGTCTTTAAATAAGTAGATGAATTTTGCCCCTGCCTTGTATCTTAATTTTAGAATCTTTGTCTCATGCAGAAGAAGTATTCCTTTTATATTCATGCTGCCTCCTCAGACAATAGTTCACATGTGATTGATACATAAATCTACCAATTTCCACATTCTCCAAAAGTAATTTGGATACTTCAAAAAACAAGTTAAGAAATTACTTTTTTCTGCGATTGACAAGAAATGTCAGCATTTTTGACCGGTTGACAGGTCGCAAAACTCATTATTCTGGTATTTCAATTATGTTTCAATAGTTGCTAAGGAATCAATGAATAACAATACAGGAAACACTTTTCCGGCCTAGGCCGGGAAAGTGATTCTCGTACTGCTGAATAATTGGAACTAAAAGACAGATATTTAACAGGTATTGAACCGATCGCAGAAAAAATAGTATGTGTATTTCGGTGGAAAAGCACATTCTCGGTCTTCGGGGTTTGCCGGCCTCGGCTACGCCTCGCCCGTCAACTTACACCGTCGGCCGAGAATGTGTCACTTTTCCACCTAAATACACAATATACTATTGCCTAAAATTTTTGACTCTGTTAAGGAATACTTCTCATCTCAGCTATCTAATAAGTAGTTGAACTTTGTTGATCTTTTTAATTGTCTTAGTCCATATTAGAAGTTTTGTTATCAAGATTTGTATTTTGTATGTCATGTGAAAGAAGCATATTTTGATTTGATTTGATTTGAAATACATTGATAACTCAGCGCCTTTCTGTCATCCATATATGCAGCCCAATATTAGTGTAAAAAGTTCTCCTTGCTTTATACTCCGGTGCAGGAGTTACCTACTCTCATTCCACAATCAAAATTCTTAAACTAAACTTAAATATTCAATAGATATTTTTAAGGTCCACAACGCGCTTGCGCGTCAAATAAGTGGGGTTATGTTGGCTGTTTGTTTTGCGGTCCAAAAAGCATAGCAACTATTATAAAAAAGTTGTAATTAATACCTTTTCCAATTTAAAATGGCCAAAATGCCTTTTGAAAAAGTTAAATTATCAGCACCATGTGCTGGGTGCAATTTTACTCAATGAGATTGTAGAGAACAATGGCGTATTAGAACTTAAAAGGAATTTACGTTGAAAACATGGCCAGGGAAAGGAATAAAAAATTAATCCCTGGGAATATCCGGGTCTTCCAACTCTGCTGTCACTATTACACTTTCCAAAAACATAATATTTGTGTACCCCATCGCTTTTACTAATTTTTAAACAGGTTTTTCCAATATTTCCCAATGCAAAAACGTGTAACATATACCGCAAAACAATAATCAGCTGATTGAAGAAATGACAGTGAAATTGTGCGATGTTGCCGGCTTGTACAAATTGAAGCGCGTTAACTTAAAAAAAAAAACTTTACAAAATGACCATCAATATATCTTTCCAATAAATAGCTTGAGTCCTTGGCTGCATCAAATATTAGGTTAAATAATAATAAAGAAATTGAATCTCAGTTCTAGTGAAATCGAAATTATTCATGATTCTTTCCTGTACGTATAGCGTGATGGAAACTGACACTTGGCAACAATGTTTTGCGCATGCGTAACAGAATTATTATAATTTGAAAAGGTCTATTAGAAAAATCTGGTATTGTATTTCGATTTTATACGGAATAGCTATTTACCTAACAAGTGTGGAAAATGAATTTTTGCCGTTCACCGAACTCCGCTACGCGTCGTTCGGTGAACGGCAG